CGAATTTGGAAACTAATGGACAAATGAAATCGAAAGAAGAGTCGAGTGTAGGTACTTTGAAACGACGCTGTGAAAGTTTATTCGATGGTAATGCCCGTTTTTTAAATTATTGATAGTCAGATTATACCTGTTTTCTTTCTTCCTTTCTTTCTTTCGTTTTTGCTACTAAAGTGCTGAACTCATTGCTTTGCAAAATATGTTGTATGTAGGGAATGGACTGCGTAATGATGGTCAGTGTGTGCCTGAAAAGAAGAAAAGATGGTCGAATAAACATATTAGAGAGTCTGAGGCTTTCAATGCAAAACCCTGGGAGCACATCGATCATGTCATTATGAATCTACCTGCCTCAGCCTTACAATTTCTTGGTAACTACTTTTGTTTTCAGGTTCCTTCCATTCTCTCATTCACTCATCGAGCTCGATTTATGACAATCGATATCGACTCGACAAAAGAAGACGATTGCTCGAGCTCGGCTCGAGATCGATTGAAATCAAAATGCTCGAAAGATTGCTCGAGCTCGGCTCGAGTTCGACTCTAATTTCAAGTATAATTACCATTAAGTACATATATAAGATATTGTAATATTTATATATAAGGAGTATTTACCAATTCACTATATATCTCGAGCTGCTCGCGGGCGGCTCGACCTTCCAAAACCTATGCTCGAGTTCGACTCGATAACATGCTCGAGCTGGCTCTCGAGCCGAGCTTTGGCTCGAGCGCTCGCGAGCCACTCGGTTCTTTTGCAGCCCTACCCAACGGTCAACACACATTATTATCATAGAAAACTAAGCATTTCTTGAATATATATAACTGCAGATGCCTTTAGAGGTCTTATCCATACGAAACACTGGAAAGGTTCTCTCCCATGGATCCACTGCTATTGCTTCATGAGATCGAACGAGACAGAGGGCAAAATAATATCAGTAATGAACCGAACCGTTATTCAGTGCAATACCTCCGCTTTCTTCCGATCTTATATATTTTGTTCACTTATTTATTGGGTACTCTTCAGGAGGCAGAGACTGCATTAGGTGCTAGAATTCAAGATCCAATATTTTATAGGATCAGAGATGTTGCCCCAAACAAGGTATAAATAAATTGTCATCTTTTTTCTTTCTTTTGTTCATCACTGCTTTATTTATTTTTATCAGTTGATGTAATGTGCAGGCAATGTTTTGTTTAAGCTTTAGATTACCAGAGGAAGCATGCATTGGTGGTTAGCTGATGAGGACAAATTTGATGGTATTTATGAAAGGGAAAGTTATTAAAAATTGATCACAATTATTACAAATTTGATGGTATTTTCTGTTTAATTGCATTAGAGATTATTATTGTTGCATTTAGCCAAAATTAATAAAATTAAAAAGAATGAAAATTGAAAAAAAACATATATATAGACTGGTTTTTTTTTTTTTTAATTAATATAGAGCTAAGTAGAGTTTATTGTGATATATTTCATTGAAATTGAGATATTGGAATTGGTAGATAACATAGAAGTTGAGGATGTCTGAATTTGTGTATAATTATGAACTAGTACAACACTTATTACACTTAAAAAAAATCTTAAATTTTAAATTTAGTAGAAGAAATTGTTTTAAAGTGTTAATATGTTTTTAAAAAATATATCTTATTATATATTTTAGAATGACACTTGTTATTCTACATAAAATTATATTTGTTGTATTATAATGATTTTTCTAACTTATAATATATAATTAGTTTAAATATAAATATATTAATTGATGAATAGTTAAATTTTTTTAATTAATACAAATAAAAAATTTTGTCATTATTCTAAAGATAAATATGATTTATTTATGTTATACATACAATATGTATGCCAAATTGAAGTTCATAAAGAAATGATTAATTTGATATATTATATATGTAAGACTGATAGAAAAGGCAAAAGTTACCAACATTTAAAATTCAATAATAATAATAACAAATGATATTAAATGATCAACATATTTTGTAGGTTTATGCCTAATTATTTTTTGATTGAAAATAAATAAAATTCATCAAACTCAAACAATGAATCATGCAATTTTGTCACATAAGATCCATAAACATGTGAGTCTGTCAATTAAGCTCAGCATATATATAAATTATATATATAAGCTCATCATATTTATAATTCATATATAGGGATATTATCAAAATCAAAGTACATATCAATAATGAATTTTTTGTGTAGAACAAATTTTTCTGAGTTGATTTTGTTCTAGTGTCGATATACATTTTTTTCCCCTCTTAATTTGGGGGTGATTGGAAATAGAATATTTTGGTTTTGATTTATTATCGAATAAAGTGAGTTAATTTTTAATAAAATTTATTAAATGGAGGATTGAGTGGATTTTGTTTGTATTCAAATAATATTTAAAATATGATTATTAATTTTGGGAGACGTTGTTGGTGTAGGCATACCCGAGACTAAAGTCGACTCGATGTCCATGTGGTCGTTGTGTCAGAATAAACGGACCACCTACCACGAATTTCTGTCTTGGGCTCAACAACATGTTATGGCTGAGGAATCTATGTCTGCGCCAACCTTCGATGTCCTCGAAGGCAAAACGCCAAAAGGAAAAGAGGCCAAACAAGCTCGGGACCCTGTGAAAGAAGCTCAGAACGCACAAATCTGAGCTCTCAGGATCAAAGAGAAAACTACCAATGGGTATACTCGGCTAGGGTCGCAACATTATATGAAGCGATAAAGAATAAGAGGATCTTGTCTAACCAGAAACTGATGATAGCCGACGAGAATAAGCTCGGCAAGTCAAGGTATTGTCCCTACCATAAGTCGCATGGGCAAAACATCGATCAATGCAGAAACCTTATCTCGGAACTGCTAAAGTTGATCAGAGATCCCTTGGTGAAAAAGTTCACCCAAGATCAAGAGGGAAGGAAAAGGGGCCGACCTAAGGGGCCCTAACAATGATGATGATGAAGACGTCCACCCGAGGAGACAAAGACCACGACCACAAATGGAAATTCTTACATTCCATCCCGTCTATCAAGAAGAAGCCAGTTCGTCTCGAGCTCGAAAACGAAGTCGATTTTCGATTCGACCTCAACGCAGGAGTTCCTCCCCAGCTCAACTCGTGAATACGAGTCGAGAAGGAACAACCTAGTCTAGGAGGCAGACCAAGGCCTTTGCTCGGTGCGCCTAATATGCGAGGCAGTGAGTGCAGAATGCTAATTGCCGACGAACGTCTTCAACGAGTTCAAACCCTATTTCCTTCATCGACGATGACGCCTTTTTATTCGACCACCCCCTACTTACAACGCCGATCTTCAACATTAACGTGCATCGCATTCTGGTCGACACAGTGGCGTACGCTAGCATTTTGTATCCAACACCTTCAAAAAGATTGGGATCGACCCAAAAGAGGTTAAGCCGTGCTAAAACATGATCCAATTTTGATAGTCGAACAATCATCCTAGTAGGGGAAATTATGTTGCCAATCAGATTTGGAGGACAAGGTTCGAATGAGATGACTATTATGGAGACGTTTCAAGATCGTCGTCACCAGAATGAGTACCATTCTTGAGAGGACGACACTTTACAAGCTCCGAGCAACAGTCTATATCTTTCATCATGTGCTAAAATTCCCGACCTCCGATAGCCCGGGAACTCATTATAGAGACCAACGAGAAGCTCGAGATTGCATCTTGGTCGTCCCCCGATCTGTGTCTTATATTAATTTACACTCTACAACATATTTCAATTTCTCTATAACAACCTTTTTTCCTCCTTTAAATCTTTAAGATTTCAATATATAGAAACACACACTAACTTCATGCAAAAATGGGAAATCTTTGTTATTTATTTTCTATTATAGCTAATATCGTAGTGAATAAAACAAAATACCTGTAAGTTATTTATTAAATTCCACTTATTTAGATTTTAGAATCTTATCCATTTCAAAACCTCTTGGGCTGCCAACATTATCAAGCTAAAAAAAAAATGAATATAGTCTTTTTAAGAGAGATGCTACGGTCTCGTTACGGAACCATTTCGTCGAAATTTATAACCGTTAGATCAATTATTTCCGACGGCAATATGATGATCTAACGGTTACAAACCTGACGGATTGGTTTTACAATGGGACCATAGCATTTCTTCTTTTCTAAATGGAAAGTCCACTTAAATTTTGTAGTTTCAAAAGAGGCCAATATCAACTCCAGTGGTAGTAGGATAATGAAAAAATTAGTTGAGCATTAAAAAAATAATAATTATCTTGGTATATCTTTTCCTGGTTTATAAGAAAACTAGTTCAGTAATGATAAAGCGTGATAAAGCGTCAATCCGTTGTCTGCTTTTTCGGACAAAGTAAACCCGACGTTGCTTTACCTTCATCTTATTTTGTCAATTTTTTTTTTTTTTACCTTTTTTCACTCGGTTTTTATTCATAGGTCTCTTTTTTACATCCAATAAAATGGCAGTAAAAATTGACCTCACGAGATCTTCACTTATCCCACAATTGATGGGCTTCAGATTTAATAGTAGAAAGCACGTAACAAGGAATTTTTTTTAGCCAGCCACGATATTCGGAGCGACCCGTTGGTAGCCAGCAACCAACCACGGCTTCAGATTTACAATGAATATTATCTATCTGGTTTGAGTAACAATGAATATTGAATTGTAGAGAGCACGTAACAATTAAACGGATTAATAAACAAATAAAAGTTGTACATTGATTTTATTTTTATACCAAATAACAATGTATATAAACATATATAGATGGAATAAAATATATATTTATTTTGTCATTTATTTGGGTTTTACACAAAATATAAATTGACAAACTATATAAACAATTGGCAGTAATTAATTTGTCAATAACCTCTAAGTAGAAGTTACTTGAAATCAGAAATAACTTTAGAAAAATCATACATTGATTCTTTTCATTCTGTGACATTGACTTTAAAAAAAATGTGATATATCACCTAAATCTATATTAGAGAAAACAATTCAACTCATAGTAACCATCAAATTGTCAACATACTATATCTTCAGCGAAAAATACAAAAGGAAATCATTTTCCTTCGTATTAAGTATTGTCCATGCTTGAAATTAGGATTTTTGAAACTTTAACCCGAACCTTGTATAATAAAATTAGACTGTTAGACTAAATGAGCCGTCCGCGCTCGGCTCGGCTCATTAAGGCTCAAGCTCATTTAAAGCCCATTCAGGAGCCGAGCTCGACTCGACTTGATAAGGCTCGAAAAGATGATTTTGTATATTTTTCTATTGTCCGACTCGATTTTAACCTCTTTTTTATGCTGCCATGTTTAATGTTTGGGGATTTTAATGATGTGTTCGCAGCGATGTGAAGTTGTGGGTGCGTCCAGAAATGGTATGCCAACATGTTTTCTATGTATTTTTTTGCAAAAGCGCTGCCTCTCCATTGAATGATCTCCTATACGAGCAATGTGGCTCACTTTTGATTGATAACTCATAGTTTTTTGACCCGGACCACCCCGGCAGGTCGACTCGGGATCCATTCGACTCGAAGTCGGAACCGGTCCGAGTGCGATATTTGGACCCGTCAACAAAGGATCCGGTCACATCGCTCAAAACCCGGCCAACCCGGCCGACCCGGTGCATTGACCCGGTCGATATATATTTTTTTAAATTTTTTTATTTTGTTTTATTTTTCTTCAAAATAAAACTATGTATATATGTTAA